CACCAAACCTATCAAAATAATACTGCTTTACTAAAGCCAGGCATACGACTGAGCCTAGAAATCAGCAAGTCTGTTAAACAGTACACTGTAAAGTAGAGACTCTTCTAGTAAGAAATCACCTTTTGTGAAGCAGGCTCAGGCCGTCGACCTCTTCAGCCTTCGTCGGGTGCCCCCACTGAACTGTTAGAGCTAGAGAACCCACTGAGGCTCCGGGAAGCTAACACATCAGACGGTTGTCGATTGCCTATACTTTCTACGAAGAAATAGTTCAAACTGCGCTGAGGGAAATGCACACGGTGTGGAAATACACTTGACAGAGAAAAAAGCAGGAAGTAATCTGACTTGCAGTATATCGAATGGAACAGGTCTGCACACGGAAAAGTGTATACTGACTGAAGATTCGTCGAGCCAGTTCGGAAAGGCGATGATTCAGGGCCTCCTGACGTTCAAGGATTCGGGAATGACGCTCAGTCAGGGAAACGGCCTTCTTCTGCAGTTGGTCACGTTCCTGTGCAAGGTAACTGATGGCCTCATACTGCGCAGCTAATTGGCCCTCTGCGTGTTCGGCAAACTGGTATACGGAGCCGCACAGAGTAGAAAGCCGACCCAAGCGAGAAGAGCGCAGGCTGCTTATGGTCTGCGCAACGGAAAAAACGCAAAATCAGGAGCAGATCACTGAATCGGAAGTCTGCCAGTGACGATAGAGGTAGACGGATAATTATGACAAGAAATGTCGTTAGCGTACATCTTCTCGGACAGAAGTCAATAGCTGGCAAGGTTGAAATCATTCAGGCAGTTGGGGCTACATCAGTCTCCTGAATATCAAAGTTATGCTTAATAAACAGACAGAAAAAAAGTGCACAGGTATGTAACGATCATAGATATTAGTATTAACATTGGCCTTATATGCGTTCATAGCACACTTTCACTGCAATAAGGTTAACACTCCGTAAAAAAGAAACTCTAGATGGACACGAAGGTGCCGAAGGGAACCCCTCCACCACGCATAAAAAACGCATTTATGAAAGGAGACAGACTAAAAAATGAACGCAATACACAAGAACATTTGATTAAC